TGAAATGTATTGGTAATGTTGATCGACTCTCCCCTTTTCAACAAGAGTCCAAAGGGGAAGGAGGTTTTCAGTTCTATAGGTCGTTGGTACCCTGAAACTGGGTGTAACTCCTTCTTAAAACAACCTTAAAAATACGGCAATGTACAATTAGAAACAAAACCATTTACTTTCTTGAGACAAATTATAATACATTCACGTTACACGGGGTCATTGATTACCCTACTACAAACAAAGAAGCTCACAAACAAAACATATAAGAACAAAAAAAAAAAAACATGACTCCTCTTGCTCTTGGCACCTCTCCAATTCGTCTTCCCAGCCTTGACCACCCTGAGGGACCACAAAAAACTCAAAATCACGGTGGTTGCCCGGTCCACCGACACAGCAAAATCAATACCTATTCGGACGGGCAACTACAACGTGAAAACAAAAACAAACCAAGGTCACCTCGAAGAGGGTGCCCAGGCGGAGAGACGTTGCCGACCCGATCCGTGGAAGCAGCCTGAGTCTCGTCCGTGTACTGGAGAGAAGAGGTCAGCCCAAATCATCCCCCCCTCTCCTAAACCTGCCTAACCTCACCACACGCATGCGCACCCCTTTCGAAGTTTCGCCGTCACATCATCAGAGCCGAATAGTCGGCACAATGTACTATTGGTGGTGGAAATAAGTGAACTTATCGTACTCAGTGTCGAATTATGTGGTGATTCACGAGTAGTCCTGTAATACAGTTTGAGATCACAGAGATAGAGCAGATTATTGTGCGTGGGTGATGAGGTGACCTCTTGGCTCCTACGACTATTGCTTATGTCCGGGCAACCAATTGCACTACGGACGGGTTGAAAGTGTTAATTTTAAAGTAATATAAACGAAACGTTTAGAAGCTACAAAACATTGTATTCTAATTAAAAGGCATTTGCATTTGAAGCTTAAAATTAATGTCGTAGCCGATTTTAGATCGGATATTTTTGAGCCGTGTTTGACATTCGATGGAAAAGTCTTTAGAAGTTGACCGACGTTTCAGAGTTGCGTGCTTAATCCATATTATGGATTCGCCACTTGGCTGTTACATTAATCTTCTATGATGTGGTTCCGATTTTATGTAGCGAATTTTATTACTCTTTAATTTAGACTTTTTTCTTATCGTAAAATATAGAAAAATCGTAGATTTATCCGTTCCTTAGGAAAATATTATCGGAATTCTAAACGTCTGCTTACCATCATAAGTGTTTGAAGCAGTATGCAAGTGTACTTAATGATATTGCTTATAAATTCTTCTTATCACTGTATATATGATAAATAGAATCTTCAATGCAGAAAAAGTGACCATTGCGACTCCGACTGCAACAAGTGGATCCCGGGGTTTGGCGAGTTCGGTGCTGTTCGCATCAACTGTAAAGTTATTTTCCATCTGAAAGGTTAAAAATTGACAGTGGAACCACGGTTCCGGAGAATCTGACGTAAATACGTCTCTGTATTTAAATTATATTTAAGCAATAAATACAATGAAAGAAAGTTTATATATTAGCTTTATTCTAAATATTCCCTTTATATATGCTTTACAATTGATTAAATAGTTTGATTAAGACATTGCTTATTTTACTTAAATTAGTTACGCGGGGTCTGTGGTAGCTGAATGTAATGTAATGCAATAATTCTTATATAAGGTAAGTAATTGTGATATTCTAAAACGTTTTTAACAGCACAATATCATCTACTCTACGACGCACTTCTTCTACAAGCGATTCACAGCTCAGCTCCTTCCGCAATAACGAAAGCGGATTGTTGACGGCAGTAATGAAATACAACAATGCCGAGTAAACAGATGACGCAACAATTAATTTCTTATGTAATATAATAATGCACGCTGGAGTTCATATAAAAGCTGGAAACCCTCTCGCCACGGGAGGCCATCAGCTGAAGTGATCTTCCCCCCATGCCGCAGAGGCCTTCAGCCGAAACGGCCCCTCCCTCTCTGGGTTCATACCCCAGAGACCCAACCAACCAAATTCCTTCGACAACTTGCCTGACAGGATAACCTCCCATCAGCAGCAACAAATCCCAGTTTGAA